TATATATATATAAAAAATAAATATTAATTAAATATTTTTAATATAAACGCAAAAAAAAATTTTGAAATAAATATTCACGTTTTTCCCCATTTTAAGATTTGACCTTAAAGACGCTCCTTTGGCTAAACATCAATATCAGCTGCCCCTTTTAAGAAAATCGCCAATATATTATGGATTATTAATGTCTGATTAATTATTTATAATTGTCATTTTATAGATTTTTTTATTTAAATATTAAAAAAACCATCTTAATTAATTTATGATAATATAATTTCATTATTTTTTAAAATTTTGATTAGTATTTTTTAACAAAGTTATTGATATAAATAATATCACAATTTCTCAATAATTTCACTTCATATTGAAATGAAATCAAATTTAATAAACAAATTTGGCTTAATTCTTCTATTAATGATGTTTCAAAATTAGTTATGAAATCAAAATCCTAAAGCTGTATTTAACCATTTTATTTACCATATATAAACTATGATATGAAGATTTGATAGAAGTAATTGAACTAAGTCCATCTGCCAAAGTGACTAAACCAAATGTCTGTTAATATGATCACTCTCCTTTTTCCTTGTAAGAGTAACCTTGCCCAGGTTGGGCAGCAATTAGAGGGAGAGATCATGACCACCAAGAACATCCATCAATTCTTTAGTTAAAGGTGTCACCCGATATTTATAATTTTATCTTTTCACCCAGGTATCGAGACGATTGCTATACCTACAAATTCTGTTATTAGTCAGCCATACCTGACATAAATACATTGACATCCGCATCATGCTCTTTTCATTAGAATATCAGAGAGAAACGTCATGCAATACAAAATATACTACTTTGATTATTTCATGGATTTCTTTTCTTTCTCCTTTATATAAAAGGGAACAAAAAGAGATAGAGAGGGACTTCGTGCTCTCTCACACACTCTCTCTTGATTATCCTCATTTACTCTTTTTCTTCTAGATTACTTTTTATCTCCATTCATCATACCTCTCACTCTTTCTTTCTTAGATCCTCTAGCTCGGGGAATCCTCAAGGAGCTGCTTCCCTCTAGTCTGTTGAAGATTTGGAACTAATATATATCTCCTGTGATACCCTAGAAAAATT